AACTAAATTACATAAAATTCTTATGTTTTAAATGTTCTATTTGACATCCCTTATTCTGAACTATCTTTCGACACCGCAATTTCCAGGATAATAATGCCTTTTGAAGTGGCAGAAGAGGTATTCTATCCCATTCCTCCCGAACGCTTTCCAAAGTCCTGATAGGGTTTTGTACATATTGGTACATCACGCTTAGGTTAGGGACACGTTTAGGTTTGGACAACTTTTGTTAGGGTTTTGGACAACGTTTGAATAATGCAGTTTTTAAAAGTCGAAAGCACAAAATCCATAGGTGCACCATCGGGAGATTTAGTAGGATATCAGTGAAGAAGAGTATGGCCTTGATACCAGTTTTTGTTCCATTTCTTTTACGAAATTTACAGTGGATTTTGATGTGGAGTCTCACGGATGGATGGCACTGTGGGTAAAGCGATGGTATTTCATTCAGAAAAATTGGCGACAAAATATGTTCCTGATAGTATTTGAAGTTAATCTTGACATTTTTTTGCACTCTCTTTATTTTTAACTTGCCATTATAAGAAAAATCAGCAACAATCATGAATCCCTTAGAAAAACGTTCTTTCGATTCTTTGAACCATGTACTTAAATTTTTTTCTCCCCTTTTATGATAATAAATGGCTCTTTTTTTGTTACAATCATTTAAATACATTCATGCTTCATCTATTGTGACAATTGTTTTCAATTTTTCTTTGGATAAGTGTTTCTCATATAGAATTCTGCAGCGTGTCCTGCGTTGAGCGATATGCTTAAGTGAAGACGATGCACATTGCGTTTTTTCGCTTTCCTTAAGATTTTAATCAACATTTATCATTTTGTTTACAGTGTAAACCGAGCATTTTAATGATTTTGCAACTGTCCTTTGACTAGGGGGATTTTCTTTTAACATTAAACAACGTACCTTTGCAATAGTGGAAGATGTCCGTTTTTTCCTTTGATACTTGTTTGGAAATTTTATCCCATTTGAGGCTCCAATTTGACGTTTTTTTCCTTTCTTGTTGATGATGTTACCTATCGACGCTTTAGATATCACAAAACCATGACTCTCACATCGTTTTGGATAACGGAGTATGCATATTCTCTTCGGAAAGAGCGTAATGTAGCCTTCGAACCACTGCTTTGTTAAATTCGCCATTTTGAATGAAAAAAAAACTTTTCAAGCCACAGACTATAATTTTTTGACTTTTAAAAACATAGTACAATTGCAATTACTTCTTTTGCAGCAAACGATTTTTTATTACCGCTTACCAAAATCGTCTAAAAAATGTGCCAACAGCCCCTGTACAAGTCATGAAAATTCTATGCATATCCATTTACTCTCCGAGAACTGGATCCACAGACAGGGATTATTAGGGATAATAACGTATCACATAAAGCAAGGATACGCTGACCGTGAAAAATTATATTCAGGAAAGAAATGTCCGATAGACCCAAAATTTGAGTCATAAAAAAGACGTATAAGTAAATGTCAGCGTAGCAGCATATATGCGAATATGCGTGTCAATAACTGTTCTGAAAGCAGTTTAAGATACAAAACAAAAACGTCGCTATTAAATATTAGAACTTTATTTTCTCAAATGCCCTATGCACAACGCCTTATAATATCACTTGTCGAAGAATATGTTAGCAGGTTTCTGACTCTGCTATATGAGAATGAGAACATAGCGAAGTGCAGATTATTCTTCCAATAAACTCGTGCTCGCGTTAAACAGTACATCTTGCACAAACATACATGCGCGCACACACACAGAAATCAGAAAGCTTTCAGATTTTACAAGGGTTTTTACTTCTTTGTGCGAAGTAAAAAGGAAGTATTGTAATCGCGAAAAGATTCAGGCAGCATATTTCAACGAAAATATCCATTTTGACCGCTATCGAATGCAATTTAACAATGTTTCTGCGTGATATCTGTACGTAAAAACAGAATAAAATTACTCTTTTCCTCCAAAAAAATTATAAAACTGCTTTAAAATGAATTCTGAAGAGAAATTTTCGTGGCGTCTGTACGTACGTATTTCGCATAACTCAAAAACGAGTAGCCTCAGAACGTTGAAATTTTGTACATAGGACTACTGTAACATGTAGATGTGCACCTCGTATTTTGGTTGCAATCGGCCGCAAGAAACGTATATAAATATATTTATATATATATCCACTCTGTTACCCGGCTCAGTGATCTCAGTTTTCTTTACTCTTATATATTTGTAAATCGTACATTTTTTGCTTTAAAACATAAAATCTGACCTTTTTCAGAAATGACATAACGAATTATTTTTTCCATATTTCGATTCTACGACTCAGATACAAGTTTACTCCCACTCAGAGTACCAAGTTTTGTAAAAATCGCACGAGTAGTTTAGCTCTCATAATTTTAGCTCCGCATTGTTAATTAAAATCTGGTTCATATTTATTAATATATCTTTTTTATCAAACTTATTCGACTCCTTCGTTCACAATTCCAAATTTGGGTTCTCTCTAAATGAAATTCGCAGATATTTTCTGAATTGTTTTTAAAATGTTTATTTTTAATAATTTTGTATATTTTTAGACAAAAATTTTGAATTATAACCTATAAAATTTTTACCATCATCTTGAAGTAGATATATTTCTAGGCACGCCAGCAAAAAATTATATGGATTTTTATTCAAAATTTCCCCAAATATACGTGAATTTACATATTGGTGCGTTTCAAAATTTGGCATAATTGTTATAAGCGGTAATAACATCAAATGTGCGTTTAGACACTTTGTTAAAATCGTTTGAAAGAATAAACGATGCGCCATTTTTTTTCCAATTAATGAATGTGCATAATGTAAAAAAGGGAAAAGAAAAGAGGTTACTATAACGTAAAAATTTCGCTTAACGATTTATTCCTATCTCAGACTAAAAAAAGTACGCTAAGATGAATTTTTAAATTTCTCCTTAAGTTTCTCCCCACAATTTACAAAATTTAATATTTGGGACAGAATTTGGGTCGTAGAATTGAAATGAGGACAAAAAAATGGTTCGTCATTCGAAAAAAGTCCGGTTTTGTGTTATAATACCTATATTCGAACAATGTTATAGAACGCTAATCTAGTACATAACAGAAGTCGCGCTTTTGAGACATGAAAAACGGAAGTAAAATTTCGTCAATTGGCCCTGCAAAACGGGATTGTGCAAGGTTTACATCCGTTTTTAAGAATATGATATGTTTTGACCATTTATTGTAAATATGGGTTACATTTAATAAAGGTCTACTTCATAGTTAATATCATTACTGCGAGTTGGACTTCATTTAGTAATTTAGCCGGATGGTCTCAGAAAATTATTCCATTTTTTTTCCCGCCGACAATTGTCATCTTCAGACTCTTCTTTTTAATGATATTTTTTTTTACTTATTTCTACTTGAATCTAAGGAAACTAATTCGGGCTGATGCAACCACTCGTAAAAAAATTAAGTTTTTTAACTATTTGTTGAATTTATAGAATTTTGGACGAATGTATAGTTAATAAATTACTGCAAATTGTAAATAGTTAATATCAATACCGTAAGATAATAATATTATTGCAAGTTAGTGCATTATTCATACATAAAATCATTACTGCAATTTTGTCTTCACTGAATAACTATGCAAGTTCATCTCGAATGGGTTATAAAGCAATTTTTCTGCTTCACTTGTAAATAATTTGTTTAAACTATGTATTGAAAATATGTTTTGTATTTAATAATGAACTAATTCGCAATCAATATCGTTACTAAAAATTTTAGTACAAATAACAATTGATAATTATCCTACTTAATTGTTATTATCCGATACTTAATAGATCCGAGTCTTGTTTTTCCAGTTGAGGTAGAAAAATGGAATTCAAATCGGAAGACTAAAACTTTCTTGGTTTATTTCCTGTGTAATATAAAAAAAGGAACAGTTCCCTTAACAAAGCCTCCGCAAAGGCTTCTCTTTCCGCAGCCGTATAATCTTTATTTTCTTTCCATTAATCAAATAACTGAAATCCACTTTTCAATAAATTTCAAATAATTGAAATCTTTCCATTAATCAAATAATCGTTGGGGGACATCATAAACAAACGTATTTGCCTAGCAAAGTTATGCGTATTTATAATTTTATATGAACAGCCGAAATGAGTCCATGTAAATACATTCCGCTTTAATCATGTTTTTTACATATTTACGGAAAATATGCGTGATATTTAACAAAGGATTAGTTAATAATTTATGTTGCCATTATACGCTGTATTAACGTGTAGAAATCATACAGGATGATTCCAGATGGAAAATACTAATAATTTTCTTTTAGATGACTATCCAATTGTGCTATTTAACAACTCGTTATCCAAAATCGTGAGCCATTTCGGATATTGTCATTTACCGTAATTTTCAAATCTGATCACGATTTTCCTAGGGTATGCAAATGAAATTATCAGGGACAGCTAGTTTCCTAATTACGTAACTGTAATAACCTATTGCAATTATATTTATAATTACATTGTAACTGCAATTACAACCATAATTACATTGCAACTGTAATTAGATTATACAACTGCAATTACATTTTAATAGCAATTAGATTACATAATTACTTTTTAATTGCAATTACAATGTGATTGCAAATACATTGTAGTTGTGATCAGATTTCACAATTACGATGTAACTGTAATTAGATTATACAATTACTTTGCAATTATAATTGCGATGTAATTGCAGCTGCATTGCAATTTAAATCATATTTCGAAATTACACTGTAATTCTAATTAGATTTCACAATTGCAATGAAATTATAGTTGCAATTTAATTGCAGTTACATTGCAATTGTAGCTGAAAAAGCAGTTATACTTTAATGCAATTGCATACTGGAATTCCCATTTGCCCAACTCTGCCCTTTTGCCATTTAAGAATATTCACAAATTTTGAAAGATTGATGTTCGCGACTTTTGGATCACTCTGTATTTAGTCACATGAAATTCATCGACATGATTTGTTCTAGGTGACAGGGAGCATCATGCGCGTGGTGCGTCTACGTTTCGCCGCTCTGATTATGGTGGCGTTTGCTGTACTGTTCTGTTTCCACATGCTGCTCTCAATTTGGAGTCGCTCCCTCACCGTGGAGGAGATACAGAGGACAGACGAGGCAGTAGAACAGGCATGTCGTCATCCGGATCTCGAGTATCTTAACCCTATAATTCTCAAGTAAGTTCAAAGATACTTTTTTTTCCTGTAAAGTTTATCTCATAACTTTGCTTCTACTTCCTGAAAATTTCTTCCTATGCTGAAGCCCGACGTTAGATATTTTACCAGCCTGTACAATCTCTGTGAATTCTAAATTCTTTTGTCCAGTGTCCAGATAAATTTTAATAAAATTTCTCACCTCCTAAATTCTGTTGCCTCTAAATTCCCCTAGATTCTAAAAATTTTGCCAGTCCTAAACTTTGCTGCTCGGTGCTTCTTTAAATTCTAAAAATTTTACTGCCTATAATTTAGTTTAAATATCACGCTGAAATTTAAAAATTTTTGCAGTACTAGTTTCGATAGTTTTTTAACTACCTTTTTCAACTGCTACGTGCAAATGAACCAAATAAAGGGTGAAGAAAGATAAGTTGGACAGAAGTTAAGCTACTGGCGCCATCTATTGATGAAACAAGAAAAACTAAAATAAACTCTCTTTAAAGGCTGAAGGTAAATATGGCTTGCAGTTGGGGTTATTAACTAGAACAGAAATGATTTTTCCTCCCTCGTTTCATATCCCCCCAAAAAAAATTCTGTTCTAGTTACTAGAGCTATCTGCCTAAGGGGAGGAATGCTTTCGTGGAGGACTTTCTAAGGGAAACTGGCTCGTATACACTAAATATCCTGAGTATATCCTGAATATATATCCTGAGTCGTGAATACAACAAGTTAACTTTCGTCAACGGGCCGAGTAGGACGGTAAATATAGAACCGTGCCCCCCTTTTGTGTGTGTGTGTGCAAGGTATGCTGTGCATTTGCAATCTATCTTTACCTTCAGACTTTAAAGAAATTTTGCTTTAGTTTTTTCTTGTTTCATCCATAGATGGCGCCTGTAGCTTAACTTCTTTCCAACTTTTCTTATTTTATCTCTATCCTTATCTTATCTTTCTTCACCCTTTATTTGGTTCATTTGCACTTAGCAGCTGAAGAAAGTAGTTCAAAAAAACTATCAAAACTCGTACTCCAATAAATTAAAATTTACGCTGATTCCTTATGTTGGACTTTGTTTTTGACTTTTACTGCTTGTAAAATTTCACCGCCTTCCCTGAAATCTAAAAATTTCCCCAACCCTAAATTTTGATGTTTTGTGCTTTTTTAAATTCTAAAAAATTAGCCGCCTGGTTGCACCGTCTCTGCCGTCGGCATTATCCATGTCCTCAGCACAGCATACCTTGCACACACACACACAAAAGGGGGGGCACGGTTCTATGTTTACCGTCCTATTCGGCCCGTTGACGAAAGTTAACTTGTTGTATTCACGACTCAGGATATATGTTCAGGATATACTCAGGATATTTAGTGTATACGAGCCAGTTTGCCTTAGAAAGTCCTCTATGAAGGCATTCCTCCCCTTAGGCAGATAGCTCTAGTGTCCTTTGCCATAATTAAATACAACACAACTCAGGATATTTATATATGGCATTGCTCTAACGTAGGCATTCTGACACAAAATCGGACTTTTCTTGAAATGACATTCCTATCCTTTTCCGTATTTCGATTATACGATTCAAATTATGCCAAAGTGCCAAGTTTTGTAAAAACCGAATAACCTATTTTTTCATATCAGAAGATTAGAAAAAGCTTTAGAATAAATTAAGCTTAATGTGTTTAAAAGATCATAATTTCTTTGTTCAGTATGAAAATCTATAAGAAATAATATTTTTCTGGAATAACTTTAAACAAAGATCATATTACACTAAGAATATTTAACACGTTGAGCGCGGCGCCGGTCCCCGGGGAACTTTCCGTGTGGCCAGCGTCGGTCCCTGGGGACCGGCACTGGAATTTTCATTTGGCTGGCGTCGGTCCGCGGGACCGACAGTATTAAAGTTAAAAAATAAATATAGTCTCAATGAAATGTGATCAAATTTAGTTTTAATGTAATGTATTGAAACATTCTAAAAAAGAATACGACTTAGCTCGCTGCCGGCTGAACGGAAAGGACAGCAAATTCGGCGCCGCGCTCAACGTGTCAATGGCAATATATTATATTTAATTTTCCGCAATAAAATATGTAAATTTATTTCGAATATGCTTTTTTTTTTTTTTTTTTTTTTTTTCTTGTCTCTAGTGCATTCTATTTATTATACAAGTAATTCCAAATGTAACAATCACCATGTTCTTTTTTACAGGCATATTCACGACGTGGGTAAGCTGGAATGTAAAAGAGAAATGGATTGGGTCGAAATACATAAAGGAGTCATCAAGCTAAACAAAGACATCATCAAGCGCCATGGATTTATTCATTGCAAAATAACTTATTTTATACGAGTGGATGATTTTTCATCAGTAAATGGAAAAACCATTTCTTTAACTTCAGACGTTAAAGAGATTCCACTAGAAGGTGACTTTTTTCATGTAAAATGTGATTCTGAAGATAAACTGAAATGGAAGAACATTATGGCTGGAGTTCGCAGAAACGAAACCGTTGTCAAGAGAGCCAAAGCATTGAAACCTCCCGTAAATTCAATGAAGCTGAACGTGCTTATGTTTGGGTTGGACTCCATGTCTAGATTGCATTACATGCGAAAATTACCCCAGACATACAGATACTTGACGGAAGTATTAAATGCTGTAGTATTAAAAGGTTACAACATTGTTGGAGATGGCACACCCCAGGCGCTAATACCCATTCTAACTGGATATACAGAACAAGAATTGCCAGAGACGAGAAAAAGAATGAGCAATGCTAATTTCGTAAACATCTATCCTTTCGCATGGAAAAATTTTACCGAAAATGGCTACGTTACTGCCTTTGCTGAAGATTGTCCATACACTGGAATATTTACTTATCGCTTGAAAGGTTTCGGAGATCTACCAACAGATCATTACATGAGGCCATTTTACATTGAAGTTGATAAAGTTCTCAGGGATCATCCAAAATTATGTTTAGGCAATAAACCCCGTCATGGGGTAAGTATTTTCAGTGTATGTTTTTTTTAATTATGGCTTTCTGTATTTCGAAGAATTAAAAATCAGACGGTACAGTGTTTAGGGAAGGTAAACCGCTGAGTTGGCTTCCGACCCGGGTATAGATATATCCATGCAGAATTGGTTACCAACTCGGCGGGAGTCAACCACTAGCTACCAGGCCGCAGCCCCGGCTGAGCAGACGACATTTATAAAATGCAAAAAAGAGATATACATATGCTTACAAGGCACTTGAAGAAGAGTACAACAATGTAGAAAGAAATATATACATGTGCATACAAGGCACTTGAAGAAGAGTACTATCAAAATATATGTATATACATATAAATACAAACTCATATACAGATATATACACACTTACATACATAGATATTCCGAAACAAATAAAAGTATACATACTCTCACTTGTATTGATATATACACCCATACATATATGTTATCATGATAGTTAAAGTTTACAAAAAGCATGCCATTGAGGTACGCGTGATCCTTAGTATAAATTAGGTACCATAAATAAAAGATATAAACATGTACAGATACATTACAGCATTCAGATACAGTACAAACTTTATGTATGAGAACCTGGCACAGCATAAATACAAAATTACATTTTGCACATACATATCACATACTCTGTTGCTGACATATTGAACTTTTATGACTTTTATGACTTTTATGAACTTTTATGACTTTATTTATATATTAGCTTATATAGACTTTTATGACTACTATCTTCCAGTGTCAGAAGAGTAATTGATAGTACAGTAGTCAATTATTTTCATGACCATGACCCATGACCAGTGAGGAAATACGTCATGCAACTGCTATTAGTAGTGTTTAGGGGAGCCTACTACGCTACCGAAGGGCCCGGACTCGAAACCAGGAGAAAGAATGGATGTTTGTGAATGTATAGTGTCTTTGCGCCATGGGGGCACTCTAAATACATGGGAAACCGAAAGTCCTCTCGAGAGGCATGTGGTAGGAGAAGAGGGGTGGGAAAATTTCAGTTTCCGCTGGGCAACTCTGTTACTTTGTAGATACTGGAACCAAATTGGCCAGAATCTGGCTCCTGGTTGCTTGTGGCTGTTAGGTGCTGTGTGTGGGCAGGAGAACACAAAATGATCTGGATGACCCTCCTCCCCACATTCACAGTTACTATTCCCTCTCAAGCCAAAGCGGCAGAGGTATGAAGGAAAGGGCCCATGACCAGTGAGGAAATACGTCATGTAATTGCTATTAGTAGTGTTTAGGGAAGCCTACTGCGCTACCGAAGGGCCCGGGCTCGAAACCAGGAGAAAGAATGGATGTTTGTGAATGTATAGTGTCTTTGCGCCATGGGGGCACTCTAAATAAATCGGGAACCGAAAGTCCTCTCGAGAGGCATGTGGTAGGGGAAGAGGGGTGGGAAAATTTCAGTTTCCGCTGGGCAACTCTGTTACTTTGTAGATACTGGAACCAAATTGGCCAGAATCTGGCTCCTGGTTGCTTGAGGCTGTTAGGTACTGTGTGTGGGCAGGAGAACATAAAATGATTTGGATGACCCTCCTCCCCACATTCACAGTTACTATTCCCTCTCAAGCCAAAGCGGCAGAGGTATGAAGGAAACGGCCCATGACCAGTGAAGAAATACGTCATTTAATTGCTATTAGTAGTGTTTAGGGAAGCCTACTGCGCTACCGAAGGGCCCGAGCTCGAAACCAGGAGAAAGAATGGACGTTTGTGAATGTATAGTGTCTTTGCGCCATGGGGGCACTCTAAATACATGGGGAACCGAAAGTCCTCTCGAGAAGCATGTGGTAGGAGAAGAGAGGTGGGAGACCCTCGTACCCGTCCCTCCGGGGTGCTCTCCATCAAAATTGGGGCGAAACTCAGAGAAGTCGCACTATCGCTTGTATGGTGCTCAAGACTCAAACCAACAACAGGTGCAATCTTGCTCTCCTTGCCACGATGAATTTAGTGGGGCTTGTTCTGATGTTACTGTCAGATAAGTGAGATAAGTCACAGAGTCAAAAATTAAAAGAACTAATTTAAAAAAATCAGAAAGGTTTCAGATTTTAAATTACGTCCAAACGGGCATTTTTTAAACGTTTCGTGTGTTACCTTCATTTATTAAATATCATGTTCTTTGCACTTCAAACATAAAACTCAGTTCAATAGCAATGTCGCAAAATAATTTTTAAATGAGCCTGTCTTTAGAATTTCCGATACACAGTTCCGAGCGCTAGAGATAAAAAGATTTTTCCCCCCCCCCGTAGAGTGTTGCCATGGCTCGCTTTTAAATCGTTGAGTTTGTTACTCAAAAATTCGCTAAAATTTTACAAAATATGAAATTGATAATAAAACAAATTCCAAATTTGGTCTTCCACGTGCCCATATTCGTAGGAGGATAACGTCATTCAAAATTCGATGGCTCTATGTACCGTTGTTTTATCAAAATGCGAGAAATATATACATACATTTATGCAGATTTTGCATTATTTAATTTCTTCAAATATAATGCAGAACTCTAACATTGGGTGGCAACAGTTTGAAAAGTGAAACGGACATTGCTAGTGATTCAACGCAAAATCGCAAAACGGAACAATAGTCCTTCAGGGACAAAGCCCCTTTGGATTAATAATAGAACGTATGCAAACTGCACTGAAAACAACTTATTTTTTAATGTAATCCTCACCACTCTTTAACACATTCATTGTAGGTACACTCTGTACAGAAAAAAAAAAAAAAAGAAAAGAAAAGAAAGGAAAAAGGTAGAATTCTGTATCTCCCGTTCTATTTGGGCAGATCGATTAAATTTAACTCGCGTTTTTCATGTCTTGAAAGCGCGACTTTGGATGTACAGGGGTTGGACAAAAATATGGAAACACCTTTAAAAAAAACATGTTTCTTTGCTTAATATGGTGTAGGAAGCCCGTTGGCATCCAAAACAGCTTGCAGTCTTCTCGGAATAGATAAATACAGTTCCTGTATGTTTGCCAAGAGAATATTATACCATTCTTCCTGCAAAACGGTGGCAAGTTCAGATAACGATGTTGGCGGTGGATAACGAGAACGCACTTTCCGTTCCAATGTAGACCACAAAGGTTCGATAATATTCAGGTCTGGTGACTGTGGTGGCCAGGGGAGATGGGACAACTCATCCTCGTGCTCAGAAAACCAGTCCTGGACAATGTGAGCTGTATGAACAGGGGCTTTGTCGTCTTGGAAGACACCATCACCATCGGGGATCAAAGTTTGTACCATGGGATGAACTTGATCGGCCAAAATTTTCACATAAGTCTTGGCAGTCATGTACCCTGACACAGTTATCATGGGGCTAGCAGAGAACCACGATATGGCTGCCCAAACCATAACAGAACCCCCCCCATGCTTCACTCTTGGCAACAAGCAGTCTGTATTGTAGGCTTGAGATGGCGTTCTCCAGACGTAAACTCGGCCAGAAATGGAAAACAATGTGAAAGAAGACTCGTCAGAACATATTACTCGCTTCCACTGCTCTATAGTCCAGGCTTTATGACTTAAACACCACCTTTTCCTTTTATGGGCATTAGCATCACTGATGAGTGGCTTTTCGATCGCAGCACGGCCAGCAATTCCCTGTTTATGAAGCTCCCTTCTAATTGTTTTGGTACTCACAGGGTTCGGTAACACAACATTCATTTCAGCAGTAACTTTTGCAGCTGTGGTCTTCTTATTTTTCGTCACAATTGCCCTTAATGATCGTCTGTCACGATCACTCAGGACACAATTTCGTCCGCGCTGTGATTTAGCAGATGATGTTTTTCCGCTTTTCAAATATGCGGAATAAATCTTCGATACAGTACCTCTTGAAACACTAAATACCTCGGCTACCTTGCTTACGGAAGCACCTACCATACGTGCTCCAACAATTTGCCCACGTTCGAAGTCTGTTAACTCTGACATAATGCAATGACAACCTCACATAACAGTACTCCGACAACAACTGAACTGTTTAGCACATTTACGAAGTTGTATAGGTGGCGTCAGTAGTCAAAAACGCCAGCGCCACCTACATATTTCATTAAAATCAATCTTTCCTTTCAAACATGCATTTCACAAGATAGATGTTTCCATATTTTTGTCCATCCACTGTATGTTAGATTTATACATATATCGTTGTTCAAACATATTCAAAAGTCACCAGTCAAAGCATTTTGAAAAGATTTCAAAATCTAAGTTTAAAATTAAGAGATGAACTGCGCAATTCCCGCAGGTTCGAAAAAACTAATTTAAAAAAAAAAAGAAAAAAAAAAAGAGAAGAGAGAGAAAATAGTAGAAGCTGAAAAGCAAGTTTACAATTCTTATCGTATGAAGGTCCCAACCATTTTTTTTTTACCTCGAAGAAAGTCATACCCAAGGGTAGTACACGAAAATTTAAAAATTAAAATATCGAAAGTATTATATATTGAAATGAACAAAAAAAAAAAAAAAAAAAAAAAAAAAGAACAAAATTAAAAATTAAATATCGATATCCTCAGTTCAACGCCTCAAACAGAACTTCTCAAGGGAAAAGTGTTTTGAAGCCCGGAACCAAGTTGATCAATGAGTTCCGAATACAAGTTCCGTTCTTCTGAGACATTTGAGAAACAGGACCGTAATTTTTTAAATACATATCCAATTTTAAGTAACTTTCAGTGGTTCTCAAATGCTCAGATCTTTTCCCGCTTTTCTTTTTCTAATAAAAATAATAATTTAATAATACTTAATTGCAATTAAATAATACTTTAATAATAATTTTACTTCATAATTAATTTATTTATAATAATTCATTAATTAATTTAATAACACTTAATTGCAATGTAGCAAATTATTATAAAAGTAGTTAATTAGTCAATTAGTTAATAATTTTGACTAATTAATTTCACAGTACTTCAATAATTTTACTTAATAATTAATTTATTTATAATAATTAAGTAATTCATTTAATAATACTTAATAACGCTTGAAATTTAATAATATTTTAATAAAAATTTGACTTAACGTTTTAATAATAATTTTACTTACTAATTAATTAATTTAATTAATTTTCATAATTTCTTTCATTATAATCATATAATTTGTTTAATAAGCGTAACTATTTTAGATTCTACTTATGTTTAAATTTCATTAGGTGTACTACAATCAGTCCAAATGATTGTCACGTGGATGGTGGTAATTCTAATAGCTTCAGTTTCTTTTAAACAATTTTTTATTAAAAGACTGAGGCAAGTAATAGTTAATACATAATAATTTGTAACCTCATGAAGTTTTCAATTGCAGGTAATGTTAGATTGGTTGCGACACTTTTATGATGCTTACCACGACGTACCGAAATTTGCTTTTGGTTTCCATGGCGAATTAAGCCACGATGATTACAACATAGTGGGATATGCAGATTCTGATGTCGAAAAATTCCTTAAAGGCTTGCATGAAAGTGGCATACTGAATAATACTTTGCTCATCTTGATGAGCGACCACGGTCACAGGTAAGAATATCCATTCTAGCTTATTGAATTTCTGTTTATCAGGATTATAAAAACGTTGCAGATAATGAAAAAGTAACCCTGAGTTATTTTCTGCTCGCCTTTCCTTTGAAACCAAACTTTGTTTAAAAAATTAGACACTTTCTAAATCGAACAGACACGTGCCTAAAGTAACAGCACAGCAAAGAACTTAAGATGAATAATAATATTTTATGAAAAAATTTATTTGTTAATTTTACTTCCTTGTACGAAGTGAAGGGAGTATTTGTGAAAGCGAAAAATTTCGGGTATCATGTTTCAACGGAAATTTCCATTTTGACCGCTCTTGAGTCCAATGAACGATTTTGCGTGACATTTGTGCGTACGGAAAGAATAAAGGACTCTTTTTTTTTTTTTTTTTTTTTCTCCCAAAACTGATTGTAAAATGGATTTTAAATATATTCAGAAAAGATTTTTTCGTGACATCTGTACGTACACTGCGAGAAAAAAAAAAAGGGAGGGAACAGTTCTATATCTCCCGTTCGCTGGGCCGACTGACAAAACAAATTGCGCTTTTCATGTCTCCAAAGCACGACTCAGGATATATATTAGATTTATATATAGCATTGTTCTAACATAGGTAGTTTGACCCCAAATCAGACTTTTTCTGAAATAACATACCAATTTTTTACCACATTTCTTTTCTGCGACTCAAAGTATGCCAAACTGCCAAATTTTGTAAAAATCGCAACAGTAGCTTTTAAAAAAATTAAGTCCCAAAATATTAGCTCCTCAATGTTAATTGAATTTGATATATATTTATTAATATATATTTTTTTTATATTTAACTTACTTAATTCCTTCTTCCAGAACTCGAAATTTACGTTTATTCCAATTTAATGTCACACATTTTTTATTATTCATTTTTTTAAATTTGTATTTTTAAATAAATTTTATAAATTTTTCGAAAACAATTTTGAATTATAACCCGTAAAAGTTTTATCATCATCTTAAAGTAGATGCATTTTTAATTAAACCTGCAAAAAATTAAACTTTTTTTATTCAAAATTTCCTAGGATATACGTGAATTTACATATTGGCGCGTTTTGAAATTTGGCGTATTTCTTATAAGCGATAATAACGCCAAATGTGGTTTACGCACTTTGTTAAAATTATTTGAAATAATGAACGATGACTTTTATTCCACTCGTTTAAAACAATGTTGTCAGAAAATTTTCAACTAAAGTAGCAAAAGGAGACTGAAAAAATCGCAAATGACGGCAGAGATCACGTGTTTATTGTGACGTCATAGTTACGCAGGCTCACATGACCTCTGATGTCATCTCAAATTTACCTTCTAATTGGTATATCTTCTATTGGTATCTATATTTTTTATGGAATAACATACCATTTTTTTTTCATATTTCGATTCTACGACTCAAATTATGCCTAGATATTAAATTTTGTAAAATTTGGTGCGAAATTTACGGAGAAATTCAAAAATTTATTTTGGAGAAATTGTTTCAGTTTGCTCCAAGAATAATTCACTTGGCGAACTTCTTAACATGTGGCAACTAATTTTCCTTTCCCTTCCATTATACCGGAGCGCCATATTTGATGTTTTATCGCTTTCAACAAATATGCGAAATTTCAAAATGGACCAATATATAAATTCACGTATGTCTTCAGAAATTTTGAATAAAAACTTATCTATACCTTTTACCGGTTATTTACTATTAATGTTCGAAAAGGTAATTAATTTTCTACACGGGGTAAGGTTTTTTGCCTAGGTACCCAAGTGTCCAGAAACACCGTCCCGCTGTGGAAGTTTTGAATAAAAACTGTAATTTTTTGAAGGTATGCTTAGAAATACGTCTACTTTAAGAAAATGGTAAAAGTTTTATACATTATAACTCAAAATTTTTTTATGAAAATGTTATAAAATTTATTTAAAAGTACAAATTTTAAAAATAAATCTTAAAAAATCGGTGAATTTTATTTGTAATGAACCTAAATTTCGAAATGCGGAAGAAAGAATCAAATAAGTTTAATAAAAAAAAAAAAGACAGATTAATAAATATATACCAAACTCAATTAACATTGAGGGACTAAAATTTTGAGAGCTAATTTTTTAAAAACTAATCGTGCGATTTTTACGAAACTTGGTAGTTTGGCGTAATTTGAGTCCTAGAATGGAAATATGGAAAAGAATTGGTATGTTACTTCAGAAAAAGTCCAATTTTGCGTAAAAATACCTATATTAGAACGATGCTATATGTAAATCTAATACATATTCGCTTTCGAGACATGAAAAACGCAGGTTGAATTTCGTCAATCGACCCAGTAGAACGGGAGATATAGAACTGTTTCCATTTTTTTTTTTTTTCCTCTCAGTGTACCTATGTACTTATCTCGCATAACTGAAAAACAAATAACCGAAGAACGTTGAAATTTTGTATTATACGAGCACAAGCATCTTGTAAGAATAGTTAGATTTTAGCTTTGTACTTCCAAGACGTTGTTGTTATCATACCAAAATCTGCGTTGAAATCATTTTCTAGAGTACCGTCCTCTGGAAACTTGCTATTTGGCAAGATAAATTAAAGACCTTACACCTTGTGTAATGACAGAAATCTCATATCTCGTGAAACTTGCCTATTTGGCGAACTGCGTGCAAGATAAATTAAAGATCTTATGCCACATGTAATGACAGTACTTGCGAGATTAATGGCATTGCTAAGGAATGTAATAGTTCGCCCCCCTCCAATGCTGAAAAAGACTCCATAGACGTTTCTAATTTCAATTAAAATTTTTAAAATATCATTTTCTGAGGATTTCAAAGCTTAGATAAAATTTTTCATTGTTATATTTAATTATTCTACGAACCAAGTACAGTAAGACCCCGCTTAACGCGGGGGATACGTTCCATCGAAGTAGAGCGTAATGCGAAACAGCGCTAAGCGAGGCTATCTTAACATGTAAATAATGGGGTTAGGGGAAGACGGATAAAAAATGGTTAGGCATTAAATTTAATATTTTTTTTAATAAAAATAAAATCAAACATTTATTTCTTACAAAAATAAAACAAATATAAACGCATATACTTTTAAAAACAAATAAAATTCTCAGTCAGATCATTCAGTCTATTCTGGGTTTCCAATTTCTGCCTTTTTGTCAAGAAGGCATTATGATAGATTGGCTAATGGCATATTGCGTTCAATTTCGTCGTCAATCCATATAGACAGTCGTTTTTCCATTTCCTCTATAATGTTATTTCTAGAACGGGTAATTCTAGTTGCAGAGCTCGACGTAGTTGCAGTTGCCGATGACAGTATTTTGTTCTTTATTCTTAAGAATTGTCCATTATGTTGAAGTTGCCAAAATCAATGCCAGCACTAATTTGAGATTGACGTTCACCAGAATCTAATCTTCTAATCACTTGCATTTGAGTTTCCAGTGAAATGCTTTTTCTGGTTGCTTTCTTTTCTTGTTTTTTATTATCACCCATGATTAAAACTAAAGATCATATAATATCTGTCACTGTATTAATCGTTATTAGTAGTTTATACAATTATTTAAACCTACAATAATGTCAACAATGTTTCAAAAATGATAAAAATGCGTCCACCAAGCAAGAAAACACAACTACTGTTTCGGATATGTTATTTGGAAACCTAGCGCTGCGCACAATTTCGGAGAATCCTCGGGTTGAAATAAAAGAGCGCTAAACCGAAACAGCGCTAAACGAAACAGCGTTAAGCGAGGTCTTACTGTACTTATTCAATATTTTTATCTTGCATAGCAGTTATCTATTAAATTAGTGTTTTAATGTTGTTTACGCATCATTTAAAATTATTGCTTCTCTTTCAACTGACTTAGATTTGCCTCCATTCGAGAAACTCAGCAAGGTAAACAAGAAGAAAGACTCCCTTTCTTCGCGGTGGTCGTTCCTCAATGGCTGCAAGCTAAATATCCAGTTCTGGTGAGAAATTTAAGATTAAACCAGGATAGACTGACAACGCCTTTTGATATTTATTCTACTTTAATGACATTACTCGACCCGGATGTGCCAAAAGAGGGAGATCTCTCGAGTCGCAGTATTAGTTTGTTCTCTGAAATTCCTCAAGAGGTAAGTAAATAGTACTTTCTGCTTAATGTAAAATTGGGATAAATAACAAATAGCCTTCGTTGTAACGGTGCTCTTCGCTTTCCTGCAATGAGACAATAGCCAGAGATGTGTGGATTTGTTATATCATGTAAGAAAATAAACCAAGAAAGGGAATACAACTTAGGAGTCTATTGAAAGGGGTCTCTACATTCCACCAAAACTGATTCCTACATTTGGAAGGCTTTTTAGAATCTATCAGGTATTCTGCTTGCAAAAGCAATATTAAACAGATAAAATAGATGAAATTTTAATTTAATTTTACCGTACTCGTACAAAGAAGAGTGAACGGTATGTCGGTAAGTGAGCAGGAAGAGATAGTATTGTTTGCATGATAAGTCCCCTTTCATAAAGCATCAGGTAACTGTCTACCTGGAGCTTCTTCTTTTATCTTTGTCCCTTACCGTCATTGCTCAAGACTCACTGGCGTGTGTTTCGATCAAAATTGGTCCAGTACGATTTGCTCTTTTCTACATTTTAAAATAAATCTAAAGTGAGACATAACATTTTCATTGGCAATGCTTTGGTGTAGCTACTTTTTAATCGGGGTCATATCATTACATGAAATGTAGCAGCTTATTCCATTTTGCACAAATTTCGCGGATCGAAGAACTAAATCTTCGAACTTCGTCTTCTCTTTATTCTTCTGGCTCTGAAAAGACACTTTCTCCACAATCGCCTTTTATTTCCACTTTTGATGTTTCAGTTCTTTCTTGCTGAACTCATTTTTATGGTCCTTTAGTATCCTCTAAAGTAGGGCGCTAACTTTACGTGATGAGGAAGTTTTGGAGATTTTTGAGAGAAGGATTTTGCGTTGCATACGTGGTGGTGGGGGGGGGGGTTTCGTGTGAATGGATTGTGATGAAGATGTAATTTAGAGCTACGCAGGATATATAGACAACCTAATGTAGTAAAATTATTCAAATTACAAAGACCCAAAGGGGATGGTCATCTGAAGCAGAATGCATGAAGATCGGTGTTGTAAGAAAATCTTTCTGGCAAAGCTCGTAAGAACCAGACCTCGAGGCAGAATCCCGGTGAGATGGATAGATTGTGTTGAAAAGGCCTAAACATTCTAAATGTCAAAACCTGGAAAACAGTTGCTAAAAGCAGAGATGTCTGCAGAAAACTTCTGGAGAAGGCCAGAGCTTTCCTGCAATTTTCCAAGAGCTTTTCCTGAGAAATTTTCCAAGAAGGCCAGAGCTTTTCCTGGACTGTCGAGCCAGTGAAAAAGAAGAAGAAGAAAAGTAACTCCTCTGCGGTTTCATTGTTAATTTCAAAGCCTGTGTGTGATATTGCCTAGAGAGCTAATATCATAGGTAACGAGATTACATCCTCATTTTCTCTTTGCCTGCAGCACAAGCTGGCCATAATTTCCTTTCCGCCGAATTCTTGATCCTGTAAGTCACTTGCTGCTAAGCATTTTTAATGAGAATTAAGAATGGAAAATATTAAAATGATGTTTCTAGAAGTTCTTGAGTGTTAATTCTGCATCAAAGATAACTTCAAAATTACTTTTTGTAACAATGAAAATAATTTGTTGCCGACTTGAGTATTCGTTACTCCTGACATCGTTCGTCATCCGAGATGTTTTTTATTCAGATAATTTATTCGTAATCCGAGACGTCACGGCACCTTTCTTCTTCTAGAGGGCAGATGATTTCTATTTGTATAATATTATTTCCTTAAATATTCCTGAATAGACTTTTATAAGTAAAAAAAAAAAATAAATAAAAAATAAACAAAATCTGAAATGTTTCAGATTTTAAATTACGTCCAAAGGGGCGTTTTTTAACATTTTGTGTGTTACCTTTCTTTATTAAATATCACGTTTCTCGCACTTAAACCATAAGATTCAGTGCAACAGCAATATCGCAAAATAGTTTTAAAACGAGCATATCTTTAGGAATTTCCGATACAGAGACTCACGCGCTGGAGATGCAAAAATGTTTTTTCTGCACAACGTTGCCATTGCTCGCTTTGAAATCCTTGAGTTTGTTAATCAAAAATTCGTCAAAGTTTTAAAAATAGGAAATCGATAATGAAAAACATTCCAATTTCAAATTTGGGTCTTTCCACATGCTCATATTCGTTGGAGGATTACGTCATTCAAAATTCGATGGACTCTATGTACAACGTTTGTTTATCACAATGATTTAGAAATATACATACATATTTTCGACGCAAAATGCCAAAACGAATTATTAATTTCTTCAAATAAATGCAGGACTCTACATTTGTGGCAACAGTTTGAAAAGTGAACCGATATTTATGAGTCCGACGCAAAATGCCAAAACGAAACTAATAGTCCTTCGGAATTCAAATCCCTTTGGACTAAAAATAGTGTAACGTCTCACTTTAGTTATGCATATCAAAGGGAAAATAATGATTACCTATTTACATGACAGCTGAATATTAATAATTTCCCAATTTGCATCGACATCCATTGTTTTTATAATACATCACTTTAGTTATTATACGCTCATGACATTCAAAAATGATAATGATCAAATAAAACTATCTTCAGAATGACGCATCATTATGAAAATCAATTTTTTAACTTGAAAAAAGCAACTTTCGCATGTGTGTGGCAACTTTTATGCAAGTGCGATTTTTATCTGCATTATTAATTAACAAATTAAGTAGTCTATGAAATAAAGTCGATATAACTTTATAAAAAATGAAGACGTTGCAAATAATGCTGAATTGATGTAAATAAGCACGCGTTTTTGTGCAAATGAGATAATTTTGCATAAAAGTGCTGACGAAAATCCGACTTACATAAAGATGCCTGCATCCTTATGAAGTTACTGTTTTCAAGTTAGAAACTGATCCTCATAACTGTGCGGCACAATTATATGGGTGTACCCTTATGAAGGTTTCAGCGTTAACGAGCAGAGGCCAACCTGCATAAGGGTCTCGGCGCGACGTATCTTCCAGCTATTCCATCTTTCAAAGACAAGACCCAGAGCCTTAAAATGGTATCCTATGAGAAGAACAAATGTTTAACATAAAAGAAATTCTGTCTTTTATCTCCAAGTTTTGTTCGAACATTTGAGGGACGGATTCGGATGCGAAATGTAGTGCATTAACTAAGAGAGATTGCCGACGTCTTCAACACGTAATCAACTGCACATTTTCATATATCACGGGATGCTTGAGATATAATGGATGATACTTCTAGAAGGTATGGATTAGCAGAACTGATAAACAGATACAGACTGATAATTATATAATAAAAATCTTTATAGTGTGTCTAAAAAATAAAGTCGATATTCAACATGAAAAACAGTCAGAATATTATAACAAAATGTCTGTATCCATTACAAAGAACTGTTTTTAATGTACTAGACTTGATAGATATTGATTTCTGCGAAGAATCGAAAATCAGGAAAATAAAATTAAAGAACATCTTAAATCAGGCGAGTCATTTTTCACAAACGAATTTCAGTTTATTCTGGTTGCAAATGTTGGTAAATTGTATATCATACGGCCAGCAGTTTCCAGATTTAATCTCTCCTACCCTCCCCCCCCCCAAAAAAAAATAACAGTTCTTTTTCTTTTTGTATAGCTCAAAGAACAAAGAGAAAATATCGTTTTGGAGATGTTTCTTTGCACATACAGGTAATCATTCAGCTACCATTGGTAAAAATGGCTACGTATACAGCTACCATTGGTAGACTTAAAGTATCATTATGATGAAGCAGCATATCATGGATAAAATAATAGGGGGACAGGAAAATAATGTCACTTTCTTACATTAAATTCAAACGAATATATATTTCACAAGTTTTTATTTTTAATCAATAATATAATCACTCTCGTTATCAACAATCTTTTGCCATCTAATGTGCAGATTTTCAATCCCGGACCGATAAAAATCAATTGGTTTTTGAGTAAAGTATCTCCAGAGAACATTTTTGACATCATGCAAATTTTCAAATTTTTTGCCACTAAGAAAATATTGTAGGGATCCGAATAAATGGGGAAATGCTGCGATATCAGACGATTATGGTGGGTGAGTATGGCAGTACCTCCTACCCCAATTCATTAATTTTTTCCAGTGTTCGTCTTGCACAGGGCGGTCTTGCATTGTCGTGTTGCAGAATGACGCCTTTTCTGTTGACAATTGATATTTTTCGATTAAAGGTTGGTTCACTCCATCCAATTGTTCACAATAAAAGTCTGCTTCAACAGTTTGTCCAGGTTTCAGCCATTATAATTGAACAATTCCTCGAATACTCCATCAAACATCCAGAAGCGCCTTTTCGGGATGTAAACACTTTGTAACCCCTATTAAAACCGCCTTTTGAGTTTCGATTATCATATAGGACTTATTTTTTGTCTTCACTAGTCAAACGATCAAAAAACGGTTCTGTATGGTGCCGTTGAAGCAATACGTTGCATGTGATGGATAGGTTGGTTTTGTTCTTTTCGGACAGATTATGGGGGACTCAAACACCTGCTTCGCTTATTTTCCAATTCTGCTTTAAATGTTCTTGGATGGTCGACCAAGGTTGGTTAAGAGTGTTTGACATGGATTTGCTTCCACTTCTGCCCGTAGCATGTTGTTGTCGACATGCGCCGACATTACTTTCCGGTCCCCCTATTATTATTACTTACGTAAGTTAAAAGAAAGAATTTCAGCAAGAATTCCCACACAGAAGTTATTTGATTCAACTACTCGATATTCATTCATTTAGCAGGCTGAAAATGACCCAAGACACAAACTCATCAAAATCAGGAAGAAAGTTACAGAAGAACAAAAATATTCACCCTTCGGAATCATCGGATTTCAGTACGATTAAACATTTTATATAAGAATCAGACACAAGCAACATTTAAAAGGAAAACTCCAGATATTTTAAAAATTACAGATTCCACAATCGGTCCCTGATCGCTACCATTAGGCAATCAGCTACCATTTCGTAATCGGCCACTGATGATATGCCGTTGGGGCAGTCAAATTTGTTTACTGGAGTAGATGTTTCGACTAACTATTTATTCAGCAAAAATTTATTTTATTTATACTCTGCTTTAGCTGTTCAGCAAATAAGCGTATTTAACAAAATAATCTTACTTGAATGGAGAAAGATTATTCTGAACCGTGTAAACTACAATTGTTTAATTTGTTTATAATATTTGTTTTTCATATTATCTACAAAATTAATGGCAATTAGACTCAAAACATGTTACATTTCTTAATAAAATCACATTTCCGTGATTTTGACAAACATTTTGTCGCAATTGTGTATTAGGTATTACTTGTATTAAATAACTAATTTTCTTTTGTCACTTTCAGAGAACATGCACAATGGCTTCTGTTGAACCTCACTGGTGTGCTTGTTTATCTTGGGCTAAGGTTCCAATAGAAGATCCAATAGCTACAGAAGTCGGTCGAGCTGTGATAGATTTTGTAAATAAACTCACAGAATTCCAAAGAAGTGAATGTGAAGAACTAACACTACACGAAGTGATGCGCATTGAAAAGCTTCAGCCCAATAAAGCTCTTCTCGAAAAAATGCAGACAAAGATGGATTCGTAGGCGAATTCACCGACAACACTCAATTAACAGAAATACTTTATCAAGTACAGCTTCGAGCTTCCCCTAGTGATGCAGTTTTTGAAGCATCAGTCAAACATAGTACAATAAAAAAGACATTTCTAGTCAAAGAAAATGAACTTAGTCGTGTAAATATGTATGCTAATCAAGAACATTGTATTCATGATAAATATCCATCGTTAAGGAAGTACTGTTACTGTAAAAAGCAGTTATGAGCAATTTGATGATAATGACTATGTTCAGAGGAAAGCCAAATGAAATTCGTTTCAGGCGAGTGGAGTTCCAAAAAACAACCCTTCAATTTTTACTCAGTTCAAGATAACTTCTTACCACAATTATGATGCAACAATTTGGGAATTATTTTATCAAAAACTACATAAGTTCATAGCTATTTAAGGAATTTTCTCAAATGTTAACTTATTTTCGTAATTTTTGTCATAATCAAAAAATATGATGTGACCTTCAATAAGCCATAACAACTTGCCTTGGTTATTTACACTGCTTGACTATTGCTAAAGAAAACAGTGATTTTTCTTCATAATTAACGATAGATGTCGTTTAAACAATAATACCTGCCACATATCAAATAGAGGTCCTCAAGTATCGTTATTATGCAAAATGGTGTAGATACCGCCACGTGGCAAAACAAGATAAGCAAAAGAAAAAAAGATGCTTCTTCCAGCTATTTTCAGTATTAAAAAATGGCTTCTTCCGCTCCACATAAAATTGGGTCCGTCAGATTGGAGCATGACCTCCTCGGATATTGTTGTATATGTTGCCGGCAAAGTTTCAAATCCGGCATTGTATAGAATGCCAAGACATTGTATATAATGCCTAAAACTAGCCGGCAATGTATGAAACGATTCATATCTCATATTATAGTTCGACCGCCTCATCCGCGACCATGAGCGCAAACACGCATGCGCCATTCGGACCGAATTATTGGCAAAATAGGGTGGAAGGATGAAAAACTTTCTTTCGTTCCAGCATAGCTCTTTCCGGAGAAGTGAAGACCTTTCACGTCGCAGTATGTAATACCGCCTCTTTTGGGCGAGGTCTATGTGTTTTGGCAGAATGCCAACCAGGGTTGCGCTTGAGACGGTCGAACTATACCTAGGCATTCTATGGAATGCCAAATGACAAACCGGCAAAGTATGAAATGCATTTCCAATTCGTTTCGAAGAACCACACTACTTACCAGAAGTTAATAAATGATGTAAAAAAGCCAAAATGACTTGTAAGATGGAATGGGACTACTGACTGCTGATCGCTAGGATGAGATGTTTGTGAAAAACAAAAGTACATCCATTTATTCTGTTAACGAAAAGCGTCAGTACTATACAGTATTACATCACGGACGCTGAATTATTTCCCGTACTTCATGACAACTCATTTGAGTTCTGGACACGAACGACGTAACAGAATGTTGCAAGAACTTTCAACCAAATACAAAAACGTTACACGTAATGATATTGAACTGTACAGCCACCTTTGTGAGCCCTGCCTGAAAAAACAAAAAGGTATTAAGAAGGCATTATTGTAAAACTTATGATTGTTTCTGGATTTAATTTCCGTTGTTATGTAGATCTTACCGATTCCCAGTCTCGGCCAGATAGAAAATACAGATTTATAATGTTGTATCAAGATCATCTCACTATCCTTTTTTTTTTTTTTTTTTTTTTTTTTTTACATTTTTCGAATAACAGTTTTTTAATGGCACTCTTTCATTAATTTTTCAAAATAACATTTGTATTTTTGAGGAATGAACGTCTTTTAAATAATAGCCTTATCATAAACTTTTTTTTTTTTTTTTTCCATACTATGAGCATTTGTGATTTCATAGAATGCCTAGGTATTATATAGAATGGCTAGGGAAAGTATGTAATAATTCTCATATTTCATACGTTGCCTAAAATCGTCCGGCATTATATACAGTGCATAGGCATTCTACAGAATGCCGGCGTTTCATACTTTGCCGGTAATATATGTATTTGGCATTTGTTATGCATGCTGTCCGCTTAACTGTTGAGAACAACTTAAGGAATTCTGTTCTATTAATCTTTCAAGACGATTTTGAGTTCGTGGATTGTTCAAAGAGTGTTCGAATTTTAAGAATATATCTGCTGAAAGCTATCCCGGTAGATGTAGTTCATTAATTAATGAAGATAAAAAATAGATTTCGAATAAATATTGCAAAATTATTTATGGCGAGGGCAAGCAAGCATGGTAAATTATTCTATGAAACACGATGGACAGTATTTTATCATCATTTGCCATATCCTTAACGTATGTATGAATTTCATCTGAAACCCAAAAGTTTAATTCCTAGAAGAAAGTTTGTTACATTAATCTCTGGTGGTTTGTTCCCTATATTATATATATATTAATTATATATATTGTTTCATAAGAAAACATTGAATTTAATTAAATAAATTTAATTTAAATAAATTAATTAAATTTAAATACAAATTTAATTAAATAATTCTTTGCGCCATTGCTGCAAGGAATGAAATTTAAATTTAAACAAATTAAATTTAAATTTTAACAAACGCGTATAAAAGTAAAAAAGCAAATTTAAAGCCAAAAAAATTTTTAAAAATGTGTAAACATATAAAAGGTTTAAAACATTTAATTCTCAAACTAATCTACAATATCATTTAAATTCAGAAGCATAAGCAAATCAAGTGCAAAACCAAAATATGAAAATAAATTCACTAATTTAGCAAATAATCCAAACAATTTTTTTAAAAATGCATAAGTGAATGACTGTTGAGCAGGCAGGAGACAGACTTATCAAGGGGAAGTTGCCTCCAAACCTAACTCTCCAATCATTCAATTCGTGTTTCGTCATTTATGCAGGCAAGGGTAAAAGTCAAAACCAAAAGTAAAAAGTGAAGAATGTCCAAAAAGAAATACCAATAAAGTGGTACCCTTAGAAATTAGCATTTAAGAATTAAAGTTTTAAAAGGAAAATACTAATGAAGTCTTTGGAGAAACAAGCAAGTAAAGTCAAGTATTAAATTAAACTTTTTTTTAAAAAAATTAAATTAAAAAAAAATAATTCTTTATAAAAAATAATCTAGATACTAATGTATTTTAGAAACCCTTGTCTACAGAAACCTCCCCGACACGAATATGCATATCAATAAAAAGAAACTAAAAAAGAACTAGACATAATCCATATAAACCAATAAGAAACATAAAGAACTAATTCACAATTTTTAAAAAACAAATATATACTTAAAAATATAATTTCATATCTAGAAAATACTTAAATACTACATAAAAAAATTTTTTTTTAAATACTTAAAGCAAGTAAATAGTAAGTTTTAATTCTAACTTACCTACTAAATGAGCGTTGGGGTCTGCAAAAGTGTTTTTAAAGAGAAGTAAGTGTGTTCTTCAAATTAATTATATAGATGGCGCTTATGTAGGTAAAGTAGAGTGCCAAGTTGCTATCTTTGTTATATTAAAAATTTTTTACAAACATTAATATTAAATATATAAAAAATAAATCTGGAAAAAATTAAATTAAAAAATAAAAATTAAAAATCCTAAAGGTATGTAATTCAAGTTTTAATTTTAATGATAAATTATTTAGGGAGTTAAGCCAATCAAGACAAGTAAATTTGCTTGAAGTAAAATAGAGTTAAGTGGTATTGTGAATTAATAAATGTAAACTGTTTGTAATGTGAAATGTGTGTTCTGTTGAAAAATTGTGTAAATATTGCAAGGCAAATAATTAAAGTAATTAAGTAAAAATGAAATGTTTTAGAATTTAAGTTTTAAAGTAAAATTTCCCAAAATTTTGTGAAACAAAGTCCTTAAAAAAAACTTTAAAAAAAATTCTCAGTAATTTCCCAAAAATTCCTTAAAGAAGTTAAATTTAAAGAAAGAAAAAATTGAAAGTTTAATGAACTTGATTTTAACTAGTATATCAAAACTTAACTAAATACTGGCTAAAGTATGGAAAATTAGAAGAAGAAGATTAAAATCTTCACTCAATTCGGGCTATAATTGAGACTTCTGAAAAGAGTTAGTAAAAGGAAAGAATCCAGTATTGATTAAATATACATATTTACAAATTTATTTACAATAAAAATATACAAATAATTTCTTTACTATTCTTTATCCTTCATTACCCTCGAGCTAAGATTTAAGGTAATGTTATCATATCAAAAAGAGCCAAAAAATTATAAAGTTAATGCCTGCCTTTTAATATATAAATTAATAAATTTGGTGGTACTTGGTTATCAACTTGAACATTAATTAGCTTTATTATTTCTTCCTTTAAATCGTCTATTTCAGTACATATATTTTTTATTCTGATTATTTGGCTATGAAACGTGTTTTATATTACTTTTCTAGACATATTAGAGTTCCAATTAATTGGCTTTTAAATTTGCTTTTTTACTTTTATACGTGTTTGTTAAAATTTAAATTTAATTTGTTTAAATTTTAATTATATATATATTAATTAAATACCTATATTATCTCATCCAGGCGCTTAAAATACTTGAATTATCAAATACACTCAGCAAGAAATATGAAACAGATTTTCCTATCAGCATGTAAAATTTTATTGTAATGGAAAATTATTAAATTCAAAATCAGAACCACTTAGTCGTTTTTACAGAAATGCAAGCTAGGATACAGTTAGAGCGTACTAATTTTTAGAACTACATTTTAGAGTTCTAAGCGGGGATACCAGCCATTAGCACCGCTGAATACTACTAGTTCTTCTCGGGTTGGAAATCTGAGAATGGATTAGTTACCATATTTGCCGGTTGTATAAGACGCACCCACTTTTTTATACACATTTTTGAAGGATAAAACTTTATTACTGATCATTATAATGAATTTACAGTATTTTAAATGTAAAGTAATACTCTCTGCAAATACCTAATCTATCTGAAAAAGAACACCTTTTAATCTTCGTCTAAATCCAGACACTCATCTCCAGAGCTAAATGAAGAGTCACTTGAAACCTCTTCAAAATCAGCATCTGAGTCGTCATACAACCAAGAAGACTCTAGCCAGCTGTTCCACTTCTCCTTCATAAATTCCTTAAATGGTTTATTAACGCAGATGGTCTAAAGGTTGAAGCTGACTAATTAGGCCTGCTGGAATTACAGCTAACTGAGTTTTCAATTCTTGGAGTTTATTTTTAACATCATCTGTTCTGTGAGAACAAAACTGATCCCATACTAGCAGAGCAGGTTTCTTAAACATTCGCCCGACAAAATTTTATCTACCCATAAGACGCACCTCGTTTTCCAGACCTATTTTCAAAGAAAAAAAGTACGGTATATGAGTATTTTCCTGATTTTCCCGCATTGCAACATGAATACGAGCCAATTTCCCTATATCTCCCATGAAGGCATCCTTCCTCTAAGGCTGATAACTCCAGTTTGTTTTGCCATAATCAAATAACTTAACCTAAGGGGGGATATATAGCTAGGGAAGTCACATACTGCAAATAACTTCCTTCTTCATCTTTTTTATGATATTATATATGAAAATAGCCTAAGATATTTCTAAAACAATAGTATGAAACAGGAAGCTTATGCCTTGTCATGATTTAAGAAAGTAAATACAATTATTTCGTCGATTTTATTTTCATTACTTACAGTATTTATGCAGACTATTCTTAAAATTACGTACATAAATACATAAATAATTTATCTAGTGTAGAATTGGGTGCCCCTTCGTTTGGCGATAAATTTTATTCAATTTTGTTGATGAAACCCCATTTCTGGTCACCAGGACAGTTTTAACTTGGTTTTAGCTTCCTGAATTTTTTAAGCGTGTGTGTGTGTGTGATTATGGCAAAGCCTCAAGGGCTATCTGCCTAAGAGGAGGGATGCCTTCGTGGAGGACTTTCTAAGGGAAACTGGCTCGTATACACGTTACACATGGGGAAAACCACGAAAACACCCATGCAGCCAGCCCGTTCGCGGGATTCGACCTCGGACCGAACTACCAGTGTTCAGCGACTTTACCGCTCGGCCGCTGGTGGGCCCGAATTTTTTTAAGCGAAAATAGATCGATGTGTACATGGACAAAGTCAAGACAGTGCGCAGTGCCGAGTTTGTTTAGTTCTCTGATTTTTTTAAAGTGAAAATACATGAATATGTACATGGACACCGAGTTTGTGCAATTCTTTGACTTCCTATTGTGGTTTTGTGTAGTGACCATCTTGAAACTGTGCCTTCCTGGCACTGATCTCGGCGTCGAAGAATCGCCAAAAAAAACAACGGGCACCCAATTGTAAACTTTTACCCCTCCCTGCTATGTGCGAATGTCATTCTAAAATTCAGATGCAGTTAAATGATACAAGCTAAACTTACCAAATCTAAGGTATACTCAAAGTAGTCTCCTCCACCATCAATGCACTTTGCACTTTTATAGGCAAAATTTCCGAAGATTAAATGATTCGAACTATCCATTTCTTGAAATCGATGAAAAGTATGCTTTTATAGCTTCATCAATCGCAACTCTGTACAGATAACGACTGCTGCGTAAATTTTGTTTTAGATTTAAGAGCAGTCAACGGTCACATGAGCGGGGGATTGAAAGCAGTCATCGGTCACAAGAACACACAGCAAGAGCGGGAGAATAGCGTCGTTGTTCTATCACTTTGA